CACACACACACACACACACACACACACACACACACACACACACACACACACACACACACACACACACACACATACGGATAGTGCGGGTGCAGTGGCTCCACAATTGCAGAGCACCCTTGTGTTGGTCAACTGGCTCTCCGTGCCCCTCACACCTGCCCAGACAGGTAAGCCGCCACCAGCTCCCGCAGCTCCCTCTTCTCCGCCTCACTCAAATCGTCGTAGCCCACAGCGCCACGGCCACTGGGGTGTGCAGGCATGCCGTGTAGTGCAGGGAGCATGGAGGGCCCAGTCAGTATCCTATCTCGGAATGCTGGGTCCGTGGTGGGCCTTGAAGCCTTGCTAGGATTTGTGCTAGGCGGGGAGCAGCACGGCAACCCAAACCCTGCACGCAGCTTGCCATGCGTGTGGTTCTCCCGCGCCACTGGTCCCCAATCCAACCCCTGACCCCCTCAAGCTCGTGTGTCAGCCCCTCCCTCACCTGAGCATGTCCCTCATGGCCAGCTCCTGCTTCAGCTCCCTGATCTGCCGCTCGTAGCGCCGCACCAGCAGCACAGGGTCTGAGCTCTCGTTGACCACCGCTGACGTGACCAGGGACCGCACCTGGGCGCACCAAGGGGTGGCAATGGTGGGGTCAGTTGCTCGAATAAGATGACAAGACGTCGTTACGGGCGGCAGCAAGACTATTACAACTAGAACTGCATCCCCACATGTGGGGCGGCGAAGGGGTTCATCCCCACGACACACGCCAAAGGGCCCAATGACGCGGGCGTGCGCGCTTGCAATGGCAGGGTGGGGATGGCGCGCACCCTGCTGGCAAAACGCAGTGTTGATACGCTGGACTCCACGTAAGCCGCCTCTGGCCAGAGGTTGGCCACCATCACGGTGGCGCAGTTGCCTCCAAGAGCGTCCTTAAGCACCGCAGTCAGCTTGGTCTGCCTGCATGTCGCAGCAGTGTGACGCATCGCAGAGTTTGGGGGGAAGCCCCCACCGCGTTGTGGTGAGTGGTGAGGGCCAACTAAGCAAATGTGGCAGGCATTGCGCAGAACTGCAGTGCAGCCATTCAGAGCAGCTCTGTGCGCTGTTTTGCATTGTTGTCAACCGACACACAGGCTCCAAGGCCTATATTCTTGCGTGCCCGTGCGACTTTGCCGTCCCTGACGCATCAAGCATTACTGCATCACCTGAAGGGCACGTGTGTGTCGCCACGCGCGAGGGCCCCCGCCACCTGTTCCAGGAAGCTGAGGCTCTTGTTGATGCAGGCCGCCTCGCGCATGGCCTCCCCGCTGGCGCCGGTCTGCTTGGTGCGCTCGCTGCCCGCCAGATCCACCAGCGTCAGCTTGGACACCTGGCCAGATGTCATGTGTGTGTGTGTGTGTGTGTGTGTGTGTGTGTGTGTGTGTGTGTGTGTGTGTGTGTGTGTGTGTGTG